AAATTGAACTTGTGATCCCGTTTCACGATTCTATTTTATTCATGAGTTCGGAGAGCATCAGTTAAATCGAGAATATACAAGTATAACAAAGTCAATATACCCATTTTCAAGTGAAGAACTCAAGAAATGAAAAGTTCATTATAATTGTGGATTACCACCATGCGGCCAAAACAGATCATTTCAAGCGTTCCACCTCAACTAAACAAAAAAAAGTTATTACCTTCTTTCTCTGCCGCCAGTCACGTGATCTAGTCGGCGACAGGCAAGATAAGTAATAAAAGCAGTTAATGAGTTATTTAATGTTAAAAAAAAAAAAAAGTTTAGTTTTTTTAACGTTATTCATCGAAAGTTATTGAAATAATATTTCGAACCCATTTTCTCCCCTTAAAGAACAGTTTAAGGTCTTGTCTTCGAAACAGCAAAATAGAAATTTTTTTTTTACTTTACGATACATTCAAACGGATTTCTAACGTTAAATATTTTGTCTTCGTGCCCGCTGTTCGAATTGCTTGAGAAACTCTTAACTGTTTTTAACTGTGGTGTTTCAGGTTTATCTCTATTTTATAATTTTGAATAAAGGTTGAGAATTTAGGTATTTTTGCTCTGCTTAAAAGTGGGAACTGAACTGATTGAATTAAAAATATATCTCTAAAATTCGAGAAAATATTTTAAATGAATTGCATAGAAAAACACCAAAAAGCACAGAAAATGAGGTAGTTTTAGAAAGCAATCTTATTGATCCAGTTGTCAATCAATTACATTCCGATCTACGTGGCATAATGGAGCCACGATGTGATAGGAGCCCTGATGTGAACTGAAAGTATTAATTAACCTTCAGGAATTAAGTAAAAAATTACGTTTATTACTGTTATCACTTTGCATCGTAACACAAAAAGGACATTTTACAACATCAAGTGAGTGATTCTAATAAGTGAACCAACAAAGCCCAGAACAATTTATCATATCAGAATTAATTACATGTGGTGACATATAAATTGAGTTTTGTAAAGATTACTATAAAAACAATGAAAACGAATATATCCGCCTACTTAATAGGAAAAGTTAGAAAATACTCGCTTCCCTATCTAAAGAAATATACAAATTCGCAATGATTATTTAGTAAATTAAGTATTTATTTGTGATAACGTTAAAAGACGTGTCTCATATTAAGTAACTTTAAACGAAAAGGAGATTACTGGTGTTGCAGGAAAAAATGGATATAATTTAATTGGCCGTACAAGGAAATCACGTAGTGTCCACATCAGATATTTAATGTAAGTCATTCTCAAAACTTTTATGATATAATTTAAGAACTTTCGTTTCATGGGAAAAGTTGACTCTAAGAAAGCCTGAAGGTAATTCTTTATCGTAGAGTGGGAAAACTGTGTAAAGTTTAATGCCTATTCAATGTTTTAACATTTTAGTTCTTTACAACAATCCTTTTTTAACATGCGTTTTAAAAATGTGCTATTCCTGCGCTTAAAAAACTGCATTTAGGAATAAGCTATTACAGAGAGTGTCAATTGGCATGTATGAAAATGATTTTGATAATTAATTTTTCCCCATAATAGTCGAATTCCTTGTGGTGCTCTGCTTCTACCTGGTAGCCTTAATTCTTGTTAATATCTCGAATTCATCATGAAAGTAAGTTCTTGTTAGCATTATAATACCCAGGCTTCTTGTGTCGTTTTTAAGACTCCGACTCCTTTAAAACATCGAAAGCTCAAAAGTCGACAGGAGAAACTTCAAGGGATGATACAGGTATTCTACTAAATGGGATGCATTTTGCTAATGTGTGTGATTCTTTCTTTGCTAAAAAGTGGCAGTTTGCTTAATATGTTTATATGTTGAATACGATACTTAGTTTTACGGAAGGGAAGAATACCATTATACCTCAGCGATGTTGTTTTCGACACACTTTTAAGTTCAGTAAATTAGACCGAGCTAACGAGATAATTTCTCAAAGACTTTCAGATAAACAAACTCTAAATACTCAGGCATTAAACTTATTCAGGCATTTGCCACATACGTTTGTTTAATCTGCTTCGTATAAATGCAGTAACATACACTTATGTTTTTTTCGTCCGCTTTATCTTTTACTTGTTTAATACTGTAAATGAGTACCAAATTAGTTTTAAAAATCCAAGGTTCTCAAACTCTCCATTTTGTAAGGCTTCTTCCATCGGTAATCGCATAAAACTAGCTTCTAGCTAATGAATTGTGAATTCAGTGATCTCTCTCGTGTATACGAGCCAATTCCCTTAGAAAGCCCTGTTTATGTCACTAAGCCTCGAGGACTGTCTGCCTAAAGAACGCATCCCTTCCTTTAGGCAGGCAGTCCTTGAGGCTTTAACTTAGTCACATAAACAAGACCTTTCGGATATACTGACGGTAGAGCCCTTACAAAATGGGGCGTGGCTTAATGGCGTGCGAACAATGTAAATTTGCTTCGAAAACATTTTTTTTTCTAAAATGAATGCTACATTTGCGGGAAGTAAAAACTGAGAATGAAACATATTATACAGCTTTATATTCATTGTAGTATATTGTATAGTTTTACTGCTGTCGATCTACAAAATTGCATCGAAAGTTATTTCTGACTCCACCTACTTGAAATGTAGCAACTGCTTTGTGATAAAAATTTCGAATTAAATGTAGCAACTAATTTGATCCAGTTGTCAATCAATTAAATTCCGATTTACATGGCGTAACCGAAGTGTGGGAGACCTGATGTGAACTGAAAGTATTAATCAACCTTCAGAAATTAAGTAAAAAATTACATTTAATACTGTTATTATTTGCATCGTAACACAAAAGGGACATTTTACAACATCAAGTGAGTGATTCTGATAAGTGAACCAAGAAAGCCCAGAACTATTTATCATATCAGAATTAATTACATGTGATGACATACAAAATGGGTCTTGTAAAGAATACTATAAAAACAAAAAAAGAATATATCCGCCTGCTTAATAGGAAAACTTAGAAGACTCGCTTCTCTATCTTAAAGACATATATTAATTTCCAAATCATTATCGTTTAGTAAATTAAGTATTTATTTGTGACAACGTTAAAAGACGTGTCTGATTTTAACTTTGAACGAAAGGGAGTTTACTGGTGTTGCAAACTGCAGCAACTGACAAATTTATACTTCCGTAGTTTGCACTTTCGGTTGAGTTGACATTTTGACATAGAAAAATATTGAAAAAAAATCCCCTGCATTTTTTTAGCAGTTTTACTTTGAGCCTAAGTTTATTTGGTTACGCAGTGTGAATCAACATTTTTGCAACTGGCGTCGATTCGAAAAGAATGCATCCTAAAACTAAAGGTGGAAACTTATGTTTATTATAAAAACATTATTATCAGATTTTTGACTACCAGTTTCTGCTTAAACAAAAATAGTGAAAATGTTTAAACGATATTGGAAAAGTATTGTCATTTAAATGTCACTTATGACTCATGTCGTGTTTTTAAAAACACCGCTTTGCTGTTTTTCAGATAAAGCAGTGGCTGTGGAATATGTTCTGGCCGACTGGATCCCGTCGATGGAATTAAAATTAAATGCATAAATAAACATAAATAAAGAGCTTAGTACTGTGTTCTCCTGCAATTGGCCACGCTAAACGAGGAACATGAAAAGAAGGTGCATGGTGGGATCTGCTGATACGAAGGGGAACACATATAATGGTAGATGTTAAGCATGCAGTTATAGTTATGGTACATGTTAGTCATACACTATTATGGTACTTAGGCATACAGTTATATTAAGGTTATAATCAGGTACAGATGCAAAGATGAACACATACGTTACAAATTGTGGGATACATTAAAAGAGTTCTGGATTAATCATAAAATTAAATGTATAATTAAAAACAAAACAAGGCAAATTAAAAAAACAAGACATTAAGTAAATTAATATATATACAGAGCGGGCTGCTGACGGCACGGTTTTCAAGGAAAGAAGTCACTCCAGGCTGTCAGCAATGCTTTTAGCAATGGTAGTGCAGTCTCTAATGCGGATGAGCGCATATTTATTCGTAATTGTGTTCTTGAACCATGCCGGCATATTGAAAGTTATACTATATGTCAAGTCACGTTAATATTCGCTAAGATAGGCCTACTGTTTTCAAAACTGCTTATGCTACAATATGCCGCGTCGGAAGTCTTCAGCACTTATAGTGTATAGGTATGCTCCATTTATTGGATTTCATTTCCTTGGACTGTTTAGAAAACGCTAATTTATCACTTTCAGGAAAAGCGTGGCTTTGGAATATATTGTAGACTAATGGAATATATTGTAGACTATAATTATCTGGTCACTAATGCCATAGCTTGTTTTTCAGCATATCATTCACCTTAAATTTATTACGCAATGTAATCAAAACTTTGATTTACTTCGTGTAAGCCAAGACTCCACCATTTAAACTTTTCCACCTGGCTCGGACATAAATGTCCCGAAGCGCCATTGCGAGTTTAGGAGGGTTTGTCGTCGTCCGCATAAGTAAGTAATTTACCGCTCGCTTTTTGAAGAACATTTTGCGACTCAGAGTACAGTGCGCTTGTTTTTTTAGAATCCTGTTTTGATCCGAGTGGAATTATATATAAAGTGAGCCCATATACTATTTTTGCGATTTTATTTTGAGCATAATTTAATTTCGTTTTGTTATCTAAAAGTGCATTGAAAAAAAGACCCCGTTTCAAGAACAGAAAGAAAAAAGTTTTATTTATTTGGACAGGAGACAATATCTGACGGGAGTAGTCACCCATGTGCCAATGATGGCTCTCTCATCATCTGAGTGCTGGCAAATGCCTTGATACATTAATTCAGCACAAGTCTTGCAGAGGGGAAACATCAGTTTATTTTGTGCTCTGTACGGCAATACGGGGAGGTATAAACCTCGAGGAGGCAGTATTCGGCACTTTATAATACCGAAATAGTTTCCAAGGCATCAAAATTTTCAGTAATAATATTAGGGTGTCCGACGGGGTACAAACAGTATTTATTGACCTAGGAAAAATTGAAAAAATATGAATAATCGGAAAAGCGATTTTTTTTCTTTTTAAATAAGACATGCGCGTTTAATAAGATTATTTTATGCCAAAACACAGAAAAAAAAGTATTTACCCATGGATACAGTGAAGTGAAATCCACATACTTTGCATCACACCCTCATAATACAGCTGAATGGCATTTGTCCGCCCGCCGAAGAAAGCATCTTTAGGATTCAATCGATCCTGAAGCTCGTGACTTAGAAGAAAATATTTTACTTTTTCATCTGTTTTCTTTTTCATCTCAAACTCATGCTCCCACATTTCAATTACATTATACCCTCGATCACGTAGCTGGTAAGTCTTGTCTACCGTTTGTTGTCGCAATGTCGACATGGGTAATTTTGTTATGGGGTGGAGTGCATCTCCGTCAAAACAGGTGGAGCAACCGTGAAAGAAACATCCCTGCGATAGTTAAAAATTTTTTCGTATAATACCAATAAATAAATAAATTAAATAATATATTTATAAATAAATAAATATTGAACTCTTACGTAGTATTGATAAACAGTATTTGTTTCTTTGCAATATCCGTCTACAGATATACCATCCAATCGTCTTTCTCCTTTTCCGTTCAAAGCGTGTTCGATTTCAATGCTCTCTTTTTGGGCAATAAAATCAAGCCAACGAATACAGTCAGGACTATGATTCGTGCGATTGATATAACCTCCTACAGGTATCATTGCGATGGTATTAGGTATTATGTGTCGGGATCTGTAAACCGCCATACACGCTGATGCAATGGTTATGTAACTGAAAATAAAACGGACAAGAAAAGTGTAAATCATATATACATAAAGTATACATGCACGTATACAATACGTTGTTACAAAATGACAAAACCATGTAAAAGAAAAAGGTTTGTAAAATACCAAAAGGGGTCTACTCCTGTAATTTCTAAAAACTGATTTCTAAATTCAACGCAACATCTACGAAGGATATCAACATCTGATCTGAAAACGAAAAGAGTAAATAAATAAATAAAACATGGTACCAAAAAAAAATACACCTAAAAGACGGATCATAATGAAGGATTAGAAATAGATTGTTGATACAAACCGGCAATACGTGAGAATTTCTTCTTGGAAATCAAATATATCCTTCTCGTGTTCTTTATGCCATTCCAAAAAGGAGGTTCGCACCGCACTAGTCATACAATCAGGATTGTAGTACTTAGGCTCAGGTAAAAATCCCACATAATTTTGATTTTCTTTCTTGTTGAAAAGGTGCGGAAAATATCCTTTTTTTAGTTCTGTAAGGCCGAAACAAGCAGGCAGCTTTGAGAGAGCCATCGGCAGGAAATTAAAAGAATCAATAAGTTTTATGTTGAGGGCGGTATGGGTGATTACCATCACTTTAGAGCCATTAGGGATTACTTCAGGTGCCGTACCCTGTTCTAAAAGCCATGCCATTATAAACTGACCGTCAAATCTGTAAAGAAAAAAAAATTATTATATTTTAAAAAATGTATTATATTTAAAACAATAGCCCTATAATATATATATGCAGATTAAAAATAATAAGAATACATTTACCCCTTCATATTGTGTGCAATAACAGTGTAATTTTTGTGCACTGTTGTAAACAGCCAAGAGCAGAATTCATGACATGCTTCGTATCCTTTAAATATTTTCTCTTGGCCATCTTTGTACTGCGCTACAGCAAAGTTTACGATGTGTTCCCCTGATGATTGGTCAGTTTCGAAATCAAAGAAAATTAATTTATCGGATGGACTTTTCGCAGAAATGAGTTGTAAGAAACAATGATGTTCTGACGCTATAACATACTCTTTACACGAAGGGCATTTGATAGTCCCGCAACGATGTAAAATTTTAGGACACTGCCGTCGCATGATAACTTTTGAGCATTGTCTGCACTGATACATCTGTAATTAGGAAAAAAAAAGTAGAACAAAGATTTTTTAAAAATATATTTAGAAAAAAAAAAAAACGTTTTAAAAATGTAAGTATTAAAAACTTTTTTTTCCCCTAGTTGAGTAATACTTACCCTATCGCATACTGAATGCTCTTGTCTACCTGTGACGGCTTTATGCGCTGCAAAGCAGTCCTCAGATTGACAGAGGCGATCACAATCTTTACATCTTTTAGGCAATGCTGGAACGCATTGAAATCTTAGGCAGACATGGCACATATTGTCACACCTGTGATCTTCTGGACGGTCATATGGCTTTTCACAATTTTCGCAATAGTTTTTCGAACCATAAAAACCGTGTAAATTTGTAATGACATCAAAATGGCCATTGTGTTGCCACAAATTAATGCGACGAGTTCGATATCTTCCTTTATACGAGACCTAGAAATAAACAGTTTATAAATATAATTTCATTTTACATTTTTTTTTTCAATTTAATTAATTTTTTTTTTGTTTAAAATCTTTGGCTTACTTTATTTAAATTTTCACTGCTTATTACTACGATTTGTATATTTAGATGATTTTCAAATGTGCAGATTTCAGTGTATGTACAAGGGACCAAGAGGAACTCCAGCACACTTGTGTAATTCTTGAGCTCGTAGCATTAGAACAGATCGTCTCCGATCCCGTAGAGAATTAAGCGCTGACTTGTCTTGCTCAAGATAAGCTAGGGCATATACGATTGCTTTTGCGCGCAACACAACCCTTCATCATCTGACGGGATGGAAAGGACAGAGCGTTTTTTAAGACGATCTACTTGAATGTTGATTATCTTTGCTCTACCTGCACCGATATCCCTGCGAATCGTGATCACATCTACTAGGAAGCCTGAATCCAGCCGAATTTCATCTTTTGACTGCAGAACTTTCATAATAACCGATAATACGGTCTCCACCGTCATGGAAGATACGGCAATAATTTTCGTAGACATGGGTTTATCCAATCCATCGGCTTGGATACACATTCGTATCCAATCTGTCGGCCTTAGATTTTCTGTTGACCGTTGAATTAATATTTCAAACAGCTGTCTAACAGATTCAGTTACGGCTAGAAGAGGCCTGTTGCGAATATTTTGAGGCAGACGATTCATATCAACACGTGCCTGGAAGGTTATTTCCTCGCCTTGATACTTTCGGTTACGACGCCGTGCCTTCTCTTTGAGTATAATAGCATTTTCCATCTGGAAAGAAAAGAACATAATTCAGTGTAAATGAAAATAAGCACACACGCAAACACACCATAAGCCCTAAAACAGGAGAAAAACTCACATTTACTGAAATGTCATGTTCCACATATGCAGGTCCTTTAGATGGAGCAGAAGGTTGAGTCTAAAAGATGTATAGACATCACAGTGATATGAAAAACATAACAAACATAGAAAAACATAAAAAACATAGAAAAAAATAATAATTCTCATATATATTTATATATATATTAAAAACTGATATTACCTCATATCCCGAGCCTACTTGATAGTAAAGAGGCAAAACCAAAGGATTCTCCAAAAATATCTGCGAAGTTTCACTTAAGAGCTAAAGAAAAGTAACAGTTGTGTTTAAAGAAATTTAGGTTCAGCTTATATAAAAAAAAATACAAAAAAAATTAATGACAGGGAAAAAAAAAAAAAAAAAAAAAAAAAAACTACGTACTTCATCTCCTGAATCACTAAAATAATTTTCAATGCCGTCAATAGGATTTTCGATGAATATTTGAGATGTTTCACTCAGGCACTAAATAAATTAAAAATAGTGAATAGTCTTTTTCTAGGTGGGGCAAAAAACTATACATTGTAAAAATAAGCCACAGAAGGAAATAAATAAAACTAGCTTACCTCATCATCAGAATCTCTTAAAAGCGCATGGAAATCCTCACACTACAAAATAATAGTATTTTTAATCATGTAAGTATTACAAACACGTGGTCAAAGAACAATTGAAAATAATATGGCGATATAACTGTTTTGAAACGTTAATATTACAAACACGTGTTTCAATCAACAAAACAGGGTAAAATATAATAAAAAAATCTAAGCCGTGTAAATAAAACACATAAATAAAATTTAGCTTACTTGATCATTAGAATCTCTTACAGATACATCGGAATCCTCACACTACAAAAAATTTTAATTGCGTGTCAGTATTACAGGCACGTGGTCAAAGAAAAAAAAACAAAACACTAAAATAATAAAATTAAACACATAATAACCTTAATACATTTTATATATAAATAAAATAAAAATAAATAAAATAAATTTTAAATATGAATACTTACTTGATCAAAAAAGGGTTCCAAAGAACGTTTACTGTTTCTTGAAGCCATTTTCGCAGATACGAAGAGAATTTCTTGTTTTTTTCAAAAAGCGTGGTAACAAACTTCTAGAATTTAGCAAGTAATGAATTTCGGAGGCAATCCAGCGGTTGAAACTCGGCTCCGAACTTTTTACTTTGTCTGAATACGCGGATTGGTTAAGAGGGCATGACATCATTTTTCTTTTTCTGCTTTCTGATTGGTCCACAGAAATGTATTCGTTCACCTACGCGGATGTCTACACAAAGGGAGTGAAAAGGCAGACGCCATTTCCCAACCAAATCATGCACAAACATGATAAGGGTGACGTCATTTACCCACCAAGAAAATTCTTCAAAATGGCGGCTATAGAGGAAATCCAAGATGGCGGAGCACGGAAAAACCTTATGCAGATAATTAAGAACCATATCAACCAAGGAATTGTGGGGTATCGCTTAAAGACTTGGATGCGGTCCCCCTCAATCCCTTTTTATTAATTATTGGGTGGTAGCGAGTTCGTACCCCGTGAAAAGGAAATATATTACATTTTCATATTATTTTTTTTACGATCCTGTTACTTTTAGATGATGTTCTGGACGCTAGATGGCGCCAGCAGTAACATAGCTTCAAGAAAATCAGTACAGATGTAAAAATATCATTTTAACTCTTTCCCTGCAGATAATAAATAATTTTAAAAAATTTCTTCCATTCGAAAATAATATCACCCACTTAGAAGAAAAAAAATTCATTTGATAAATTGAAAATATTAATTAAAAATTAAGCACAAAATAATCTTTATAATATCTTAAAGAAGGTAATCAATGTTCGAAAAAAAATTAAGAAATTAAAATATATGTCTTCTACCCCTCTTTCATCGTTTAAAAGAAACTTTTCGATCGGTAAACTCGTTGAACGCTTTGCCTTTTTTTTTTTCTAAGTACGAATTTTTAGTCTTCTGTGGTAACAAAAGCGTGGCTCAGTGGTTAAAGCGCGTAGCTGGAGATCTCGACATCGTGGGTTCGGGCCCACGCAATTTTTGAAACTGTCATGAAGGGCAGCATAAATCACCGTACAAAACAAAATGGCCGATGTTCTCCAAAGACCACGTGATTAATAAATTAATTAGGTAAGTTAAATAATAATTAATTAAATCCTTCATAAATACTTACCGAATAAAATTAATGAATGCCTCAGCGATTCAGCACGCACGGCATGGCGGGAAAAGGATGAGTCATTCCCAACATGGCGGATGGAAGTCACGTGATCCAATATGGCGGAGGCCACGCCCCCGTTGCGTCATCCTTTGTTCTATTACGTCATGGCGGCATCCTTTTGCCGCATATAGTGGGGGTGGTTATACTACTGACTTTTAGTTATTTTATCTTAAAATTTATTTATTATTCATATTGCTACACACATCCAGGCAATGTGTATGTCCCATGTGTAACACATATGAACACGTGTAATAATAATAAATATATTAGTAATAAAATTGGAAAAAAATTACTTACCCTTAATGGAAAGTTTTCACTTTCGCTTATTATACTTTATGCCTGTATTTGGCATATATGTATATAAAACTCGGCTTGAAAGCATTTCAACACATCTTTGAGAACAAAATGCAATTATGATGTCTGATATAGTGAACTTTTATCAACAACTGAATCTTAAATAAGCCTTTAAATTTATAATATTGTTATTTTTTATCATTGCAATATAGGGAGTCAGCATACTTTTAAATAATATTTTGAAAATGTTTAATGTCAGTGAGAATGTTAGTAGAATATATATCACATGCTTTTTTTTTGTGTGTGTGTGTGGGCTTGTGTGCTATTTCTAAGCATAAGTATTATAGTTATTTGTATTCTTAAAATGCTTTTGCATAAAAATTAAGAATCGAAACATACTTCGCTCAAATATGTTGATTACACTCTTTGTATATGAGCTAGTTTTTTAAAATTAAATAAAATTTATATGGTAGTGTGAGGTCAGTATCGTGAATCGCTTTCTATTTTTCTCCTTTTTGAAGGGAACAATCTGAAATTAGCTATAGAAAATATTGTAATAACCGAAGAATTAACTCTTAATAGAACCAAGCAAAATTTTTTAAATTTACTGTCATTGGTTTACACTTTCCATTGTCCTTTTTTAATCCGCGATGGAATCTCTTTTTGCCCCAAGATTGTATTTATGACGATTAGAGGATATGATAATCAAAATTTATTTCATCATAATGCAAGCAGAAAGTCGTCAAGAGGAAGAAAACAGATATAAAAAAACAACATGCATTTTGCGTTCCAAAGTGCCAATGAATTGTATATCTCCATTAACAATTGCTAATACTACCTATTGCACCAATGATTTTAGCAATGTTATGAGGATACCGTAACTTTTAAGCATTCATTTGTAAACTGTGACAGTTTGCAAGTAAAATCTAAGACGAAATGGTGTTGTTAACGATGTATCTCAGAAGAATTAGATAAGTGATAATCTAAATGACATTTAGAGAAAGTTTCCCTAAGAACACTTCTATGCCCTTTAGCTTTTTTTTTTTTTGCGTAAAACAGTTAAAAATCATTCAGTATTTACTTAGCACCATAAATAGCATCACTGAGATTATGGCATAAAAGCAAGATTTTGTTTGACATATGGTAGTTTATTGACAAAGACGTCCAAAGCAGAAATTTTGGTATTTCAAAAACAGAATGACGAATCATTATAATTATTTTACAAGAAGTAACATTAAAAATATGAAACATAATGTTGTTTTCAAAATATATATAAAAGCGGAAGTTTTCGTTTAACAATATTTGTGTATACATATTTTGATTATTATAAGCCGACTACCGATGTGATCTTAAAATTCCATGCAATACACTGCATTAAACGTGTTTTAAGCAATTAAAAATTGCTATATTTAAAAGCGAATCATGAAATTTGAAATTCAAATCTGGATAAAACTCGCGAACGGCAAAGTAGATCTACATCAACAAGATGTTTTTACTCCTTGGGGAAGAGAACAACATGCCAGGTTCTCTAATTACAGTAGTAGCTCGATAACCTCAGTCAAAATGTATGTAGACTTCGGTTTTAGCAATAATTTAAACCTAAAACTAAATTTCCGACGCATGCCTTTGAAGTATTTATTAGAAGATCTAGAAAATAAAAGTAACATTAAAAAAATATTCTTGACGATCACCAATCATTATGATGTTTTACGGGGCAAGGAAGTGAGGCAGCACAATGAAATAGAAAGCTGTAACTGATTTTTTAAAAAATAATGTGATACGTTATCTATACTGTACTCTTATCTATGTGTCATTTATATTAGAGGTCACAAAATTTGTTAAATTCAATATTCAATATATTTGAGTAAAAGAATGGTATATGTATATGTATCTATGCAAGCGAAGTATTACAGTTTCGGCAATTAGTCAATATAACTCAGAACAGCATTATTTTGAAAGATTTGCTATGGACCTTTCAACAGCATTCAGTAAAAGCTTCTTTTCAAAAAGGAAGAATATTTTCTTGCAAAGTACTCTTGTTTGATGGAGAAAAACTTATGTCCAATATAATTGAAAGATCTTTCATATTATTACCAATCTGAAGATGAATTTTGTATAAGTTTCAAATTGATGCGCTTCTGCTTACATTAAATTATATATATATCCTTTACATTACATTGTAGAGACATTAGGTATTTTTTTGAAATCAGGAAAGATGAAAAATTAGCAAACGCCTTCGCCGGGAATCGAACCAGGCCCTCTGGAATACCGGGCCAGCGTGCAGAACCACTGCACCACGAAGGCAGGCTAGGAAGGCGGGAGAAATATCTTATATACTCCCTCTTTAAAAGAGGGGCTGGGGTTTTTAGGGGACCCAATCGCCAAATTCTGGGTGAGGAGAATCATCATTCAACACCCTTTTAGTTCGGGCGCCAGTGTAAAGACATTAGGTTAATTGGAAAACCCGTAGAGATGAAAAATGAGCAATGCCTTCTCCGAGAATCCAACCACGGACCTCTGGAATACCGGCCCAGCGTGCAGAACGACTACACCACGAAGGCACCCTAAGAAGGGGTAAATACCTTATATACTCTACACCACGAAGGCACGCTAGGAAAGCGGGAGAAATACTTTATAAAATAACAGAAAGATATCTGAAAATTACATTTGTCCTATCAAATAGCTGAGAAAAAATTAGTATACTCTTTTGTATGTTTTATTGCCAGTTCATGAGTATGCTCCAGATCTCTCTTCTCCGTTCAGGAATCTGAAAGAGAAACTGCCTTATTATTGTACGAAAAAGGTATTTGCGCTCTCGAAAATCCATAATTTGTACATTTCCCTAATGCAGCATTTTAAATAGAATGACGGTAAAAATATTTGTCTAGAACTACGAAATTTAGTTCTATCATATTCAAACTGTCCTTTATAATATTTGCGATTTGTTGGGTATAAATTTAGAGCAGACTATGATTGCATTAAATATAACGCATACTTATAATCTGATGTTGATGAAGGAAATAATTTACTATATTTCAAACTAATTACGAAAAGAAATAGACGAGAAGGAAAAAAAGAGCGAACGAGATTTTTCGCAGTTCTTATTATGCATCTGCACCAGGGACGAAGGAAATAATTATTAAAAATTAAACATTTGCGAAAAGTATGGCCAAGGAAGTTAATCCTACACACTTTAGATCCATAACAAGATTTTTAAAGAACAAGAAAATAAAAGAAATATAGCATTTATAGTTTGAAAACATCAGTTTGCCGCCCAATGCTTCAAATAAAAGTTAACCACTGAAACACTTTTTAAGATAAATATCAATAAAATTTAAGCTTTTACTCCCTTCTTCTTTTAAAACAATAATGCAATCTGCTCTTACCAATTTATAAAATTAAATACTTTCTATTTACTCATAAGACCAAATAAAATACAAATATATAAAATTGAAACTCAAAATCAATCAAAATTTGAATTTTATGAGATCCATGGATTGTTTTTGTACTTCTTTATGGAAAAAATGTTATAAGCCAAAAAATATCAAACTATTAAAAAAAGTATATTAC